CGAAGCACAGTTGGATAATAATACTGACCATAGTCTGGTAGACTGTGGCCTTAAGGGTAGTGGCTATGAGAATTACACACATTTGATTCTTGTGTTGCCCAAGATTCTCTTATGAATTAAAGCTACATATTCTGACTCTTTCAGGCAAGTCCTTAAATTTATGAAAAGTTGCTTCTATAGCATAGACACCTGGGGTGCTACAAATGAACAAGCTGTTAATCTGTAAGTGAAAGTATTACAGTAGTTATATGGGAGATAATTCTCTTTAGCTGTATGGTTTTGTTTTTGCTGCTGTTGTTCTGCACTAAGTTTACTCATTGATTGACAAGAAACACATTTCAGATGGTCAGTGTCTTTGTCAGGTCTGTAAGGCTTACATCAGGCAAAAGGACTCCTGATTTCTTTGAATTCATAAATTATGTCCTACCCAGTAATATAGGGATACAAGATAAGAAGATAATTGTAATCTCCAGCAGATAAGGCCTGCTGGAGATGAAGTACTAACTTCTTATTAACCAAGGGAGAGGGCTGTAGTGGAGAATATTTGCCCAGGGTCATGGCTGTATGGACTGAGCTTGGCAAGATAAGCACAAAAACAACCCAGGGCCAGTATTCCTCAGTGCCATTTGCAAAATTGAGGTCATTAAGAAGTGAATTGTATTGCATGTGAATCAAACAACTTGTTTATTTTCAATGAATGAGTTGCCAGAAATCAGATCCTTGAGCTTGCACAAAGATTTCTGGGTTTGCCATGGGGCAAACATTGCAACAAAAGGTTGTTTCAATGTCCAAATAAACGACTTTAGGGATAGATGATTGCTTTTTTGCTGTTGTTTTATCGTAAATGGATTTAGGTACCAGTAGTCTTGATACAAGGGAAGCATATTAGGTTTTTTTTGAATAACCATGAAACGTAGCATAAAACATAGCAATAAATTTCTCTCCTTGCATGAAATGTTCTCATAATGGTCTTTTCATTTGAGATTTTAATGCAATTGACTTCTATCAATTTATTTAGAGTACATGATAGCTGTGAAGAATTCAAAGAAAGAGCAAAGCAATGTGCAGCAGAAGCCTTAGATTTATTTGATTCTGAGGTTAAACAAGACAGCAGCTCAGGTAAGGGATTTTTTTCTCAAAGAATGATGCTGGCAATTTTAATTATTTGACTCCTTTAGCACTATTATCTTATGTCTGTGATAATCCATGTTCCATTTCATTCATTTTTAGTATTTTATCCAGTCCATGACAAAGCTCAGTCATGTCATTATGCTATCAGACATTTCTCTCAGTGTTGAGATAAACAAGGTCTGCTTTTAGTCTCTAATACATGACTTTGTATGTAAGCCATTGTATCTAATTTGACAGATGATGATGGAAATGTGTTGCGGCAGAAGAATCTCAGTGATTTGGCATTCATGGAAGGCAAACGAATGATGCTAGCTAAGGTGAGATTGAATTTAGTGTTAACTTATTCATATTTACTGTAATATTGCTGTCGCATGATATGCTACTGTACAATATAAAATACATGATATACCT